AATAAATAAAAATAAAAAAGAAACCATTATTGAGCACATGAATGAAGGAGCAAAGGGCTCACAGACACCAGAGAAGGCAAAGAAGCACATGTTATGCTCTTCCAAATAATTTGCTTTTTCTCTCGACTTTCTCCAATGAATTGAAGATGAGTTAGAGAAAAAGCTTACTTTTGAACAGAGGCTTGGAGTAGTTCAAGCTTTCTGACAGTACACAGGAAAGACTTATACCAAGGACTGTCAGCATAATCATCCTCCTCCTAAAGGATAAGTAAATGATCACTGAGTAGTCTCCTTGCCCCAACAATTTACAGAAAACAAATCATGATCGCTTCTCATCCTTTTGGCCTAAATTAAGTGTAAGAAACAAATCATGAGCAATGCCAGGAAAAAGATAAAGCTCTCTCTCTCTCTTTCTCTCTTTCTCTCTCTCTCTCTCTCTCTCTCTCTCTGTGTAAGAAAATTGTCAGGGATTTGTGACACACGTGTATGTACCCATATATTTACATGTGTGGGATATGCACTGGGGGTATGTGTGTTCATGGGTGTGGGGAGAAATATTTGGACTTGAATAACAATACCTTTGGATATATTGAATTCAATCTGTGTTGAATAAATAAATAAATCTTGTAGGTCCTGTGGGGTGCAGAGCTGAGCAAACCAGGCTGCGGTCAGCCAGGGCCATCTGGCCTCCACCTGAGCCAAGCTTAGCAGCACTCTTGCAAATTCAGCATGTAAATGCAGGTGCCCAAGCACTTTGTGGCTGGGGAGGTAGCCAGCGATGGGGAACTTGCATAGCATGCATGAGGCTGTGGTTCCCAGCACTTCGAAATAATAAATCAACACCACTAAAGTAAGACAAAAGAGCACCAGGTAATGAAGGGAAGGCAATGCTGGGAGGGGTACAGCTGATGACTGGCTGGCTGGAGCATGAGGGAATTCTCAGAAGAGGTCAGAGACATCAGAAGAAAGAGAAAATCCAAGACAAAAACTCAGAGTCTTGAAGAAGAGTGAAATTGAAAACCACCCAGAGCCTGGCCCACACACTCTTCTCCCTTCCAGACATGAACACAACCATTGCCCCACTAATTGTCCAGTTTACATCCCAAGTGTGTACTTGAGTGACCCTGCCCAGTACTTGAGCTGAGTAGAATGAGCCCTGATCATTCCACAGTCACACCTCACTGTCTGGCCATCCTAACTCTCAATTGTGTCCCTGAAGGCAATAAATAGTTTGGACTTTAAAAGTGCTTCTGAGTGTTGCATGTAAGCTGTGAATGCAACTTTCTCTGCTTCTGAATTACAACATTTAGAGAACTCAGAAGTGGAGAGATTCATAAAAGATGTGTGACCTTTAGTATAAATAGCTTCAGTAATTTATGTCAGGATACAGACACTTATGTGCAATAGCATCTTGAGGTGATTTTAAAAACGAAACAAAGAAAATAAATGAAAATAAAAAGGGTGGCCCAAACCATTACACAGTAGTAGAGGGAGCTCATGTTGAGTGTCTTGTGAGGCTAAGGCTTGCTAAGGCCTGGTGTCTGCACTTACCCATTTCTAGCTGAGTGGGAAGGAGAGGAGGGAGGGAGGGAGCAGAGGGAATTGTAGAGAAAGGAGAAAGACCAGGTGCTGAGCTATAGAGAAATCTGAGTGGGCTCTCTGGATATTTGGAGGTGTGTGGAGCTAGGGACTGCCAAAAGAGGAGAGGCAGGGATTGGAAAGAGTTAAGGTTTGGTAACAGGGAGATAACAGTGGGTCCAGAGGTATGGCATGAATTATAGCATAGTTGAATGGAAGGAGATGGACTCTGGGGCACAGACGACTACTGAGGTCATTTGGTGGTGAGGCCCTGTAGGCAGCTGGACACACATAGGAAAGAGACACTGGGATGCATGGTGGGTGTGTTGGTAGGATATGGGTGGGGCTGGTGGACTTGGATGAGGATACTTAAGAGTATAAAGAGAGTTCCTCACATCTGGAAGATTCAGGGATCTCAGGTTTTGAGCTCCCACCCATCCTTCCCCAATCCTGTAAACATGCCTTCTGGGATCTCACTGGATGAAGCCCTAGTCACTACACGAACTCGTGGTGATTGAACAACACACTCCTAAATAATGACTGGGTCAAAGGAGAAATTAAGAAATAAAAGAATTCCTGGAATTCAATGAAAAGGACAATACAATACAACACAACCTCTGGAACACATTAAAAGCAGTCCTAAGAGGGAAATTTATAGCTCTAAGTGCCTACATTAAAAAATTGGAAAGAGCCCAAATAAACGACCTAACACTGCAAC